ATAGTGAGATTTCCATCATCATGCTCTAGTTTGGGTAACCATTCATTAGGATCATTGTAGAGGAGATTCCTATGTTGGGGAAGGAGTTTTGACTATTATTTCATTATGGCTTAGTTATTATTTCTTCCAGATTTTTTTCCTATCAAAAATGGTGTACTTCAATAATATTTTAAAATTGTTAAAGTGTGCTCTGATTTTCTTATAATACAGATTTAAGAAGTGAACCTCTTTTTTTAATAAATGCTCTCTCCCATATGTTAAAAGTGTATACAACATATAAAGTCAACATTACAGATTGATCCACAACTGATATCACTAATCATTATAAGTGTTAATTAAAATTTTAGTTATAGTATTTTGACTGCCTTTCTAGATATTTGAAAAACAAATTCTTGAGGTTTCATTAGTTGACTTGAATCCTTGAAAATATATTCATGGTAGCATCTTGAATATCTTCTCAGTTTTCTTGTGGCAAATGTATTTGGCATCTGTTGAGGTTGAGCTGGGCTTAAAATGGAAAACATTCATTGGCTGATAATGATAATTGGTTTTTCTCCCACAGAAGGCATTTTTTAAAATAAGGTCAGATCCTCCATTTTTTTCCTTTTCACCTGCTCCTGTCTTCTTGGTTTATTGAATTTAAAAGTGAGGCTTATATTCAGAAAAGAGTTCCTAAGAGGAAATGAAGAAGTCATTCTCCTATACTGTCTACCTGCTCTCTCTCTGGCTGCCATATTGAAAGAGACTTGGGTACAGGTCATTGAGTTTTTGCAACTGAACATTTTCTATCTCATAACCTTTCCAGAAGGGCTGTCATTAGTTCCTCCATATGTTTGGTTATGCTTTTAGCTTATAAAAACATCACCATACAAAATTGCATCTTAGAGAAAAAAGACAATAATTCTCAAATTATACTTGACATTTGTAAATTTGCTTTGCGAGCACTTCACACTTCATTGAGAAGTCATACACAATTATCAAGTCATTAGCATAGACATTTTAAGTAGGAAATTTCAAAACACAAGTTAGAGAGTTATAAACAAAGAGGCAGCTAGCATTGGGTGCTCTCTTGTTCTTAGACTGTTGACTGTTTATTCAAATGTTGGCAGAAGTGTCCCTGTGAACAAGTGTATGAGTTAAGGATTGCATTTGGCTGCTAGTAATAACAACTTAAAACTGAATAAATCCTATCCTACTTATTTTTATGCCACGTGGAAGAAGTCTGCAGGTCCCCAGTTCAGGTATAGCAGCTCTACAGTGCCGACAGGGGTCCAGACCCTTCTAGCTTTCTCTTCTGCCATCTAAAGGTGATTCTTACTTAGAGTACTGCTCTCAACAGTAGATTGAATGTTTATATAATTATCACCTGGAGAACAAGAATACATCATGGCTATTTGAAGGTTAATTCTAATCATGGCATGAAAAAATGAATTAGAGGGGGACAGTGTTTGTGATGGATGTTCAGCCTAAAAGTGGATAATGGGGCTATGTGCAAGAGAAGAAATGGTAATGAGATCAGTTACAGAAATATTTAGAATTCTGCCTATTTCTATGTTGTAGTTAAGGTAGGTAGGAGAAAAAAATGAACAAAGGGTAAGTATGAGGGCCCATATGTATAGATCAAACTTCACTGACAAACATGATAGTATCTGCCTGAAACAGTAGTAATGATACCAGAGTAGAAAACTGTGATTTCTAAGTGATGGTCCGGTTCAGTGATAATAAAATACGGGCATGTTAGAAAATTAGAGGCTCTGGGAAATCCCACAATGATGAATTGTTGAAACATTAAAATTTTGCTTTACCCAATGTTTCCCAAACTTATTTACTGTGTTTAGTCTTGTTTTGCTTTAAACAGAATGGCTTTATGCATCCTGAGAAAGCATTTGGGGAATACACTACCAGTTCTTAGTGCTTACCTCGTTAGAAGACTGTGCATGTGCCTTTAGGATACAAACATTGATGTGTGGCATTCCCTCAGTTTAAGCTCCAGTGCACTGTAATACATATAAGGTTTTAGCTGATGGAGAACATGACTTTTTTTTTTTTTTAAGATTTTATTTATTTATTTCACAGAGAAAGAGACAGTGAGAGAGGGAACACAAGCAGGGGGAGTGGGAGAGGGAGAAGCAGGCTTCCCGCTGAGCAGGGAGCCTGATGCGGGGCTCGATCCCAGGACCCTGGGATCATGACCTGAGCCGAAGGCAGACGCTTAACGACTGAGCCACCCAGGCGCCCCTTCTTTTTTTTTTTTTTAAAGATTTATTTCACAGAGAGAGAGACAGTGAGAGAGGGAACACAAGCAGGGGGAGTACAACATGACTTTTATTCTTCAGGTTCTGACAGCCTAATAAAGATTGCCATATAGATAAAAATAAACTTAAATCGAGGGGCTTGTTCCTATAACTGAATTGTAGTCACTCATATTGTCTTTTAGTCTGGTGAAAACACTTGTTATCACCTAGGAAAACATTTGAATAGACTAAGAAACTTAGCTGGATGATGGCCTGAACTCACATGCAGAAGACTTTAACACTATGTATGTATAACACATTTGCATAGTTAATTAACTTACTGATTGTGATCACTTACATCTTTGAAAGTAATCTCAGTGCTCTGCAAAAAGAAGTTATTTTTAATTCTCTTAAACATTTTTTTTGTCGTTGCATGCCAACAAAAATGTTCTTAACATGTAGGTCCAAAATTGCGTCCTGTATTGGGGAAAATAATATAATCACTCTATAAACATAATAGATTCAATGGCTGATTGAAAGCATGTTTAGCCAAGTTTTTCGACAGATTTCTTCAGTGGCTTTACTTAGGGTTACCTGTTCTATAAAGCTTTAAAGAAACAAGATGGAACTTGAAAAAAAAAACCTTCAAATTCTTTTCCCACGTGTAGTGCTTCAGCAATAGTTGATACTGTACCAAGATTATATTCCAGAATTGATCTTGAGTAGGTTGATTCATACGCATCTCTTTGGTTCCTCAGACATAAAAGTACAATTGGAATACAATTAACAATTTTAATGACCAAGAAAAGTAACAAGGAGAAAGACAATTTCATTATCCAGACCTGTGAAAACTTTCTCTTTTTTTGAACAAGAACATGAAACTAAAGTCAACAAAATATTTATTTGAAGTTTTCAGGAATTTGAGTTTTTTGAAGTATGTATACTGAACGAATATTCTTGTGAGTGACAGTTAATCTCATGCTTTCTTTTGCTGTTTCAACATTTGTTAAAGAATTTTCTAAAGTAAAGGACCAAATCACTTTTTTGGTAACAAAGCCTTAAAGCTATTGGAGTGGTCATGTTGAATATTCTTAGTATTTGGCATGATACTTGTAGAAAGTATCGGTAGTTTGATTAAGTTTACACGTTTCAGGTGTATACAGAAAATTTTCTATTTTAAATGAATCCTTATTAGTGAAATCTTTTGACTAACATTTTTTTCCTAAGTACTTAGTTCTGGGCAAAGAAGAGTCCGTTCATTATAGCTTCATTATAGGTTTCACTTTGTGAATACAGGGTGATGGTGGTTTGGCCATTATTAAAGAAACTGAAAATATTGTATACTGATGTTTGAATTGCTTCTCAGACCAGTAAAAATTTTTGGTTCACAGACTCTTTCATTCATTAACGAATTTGAAGAAGATAATTGGATATTCTGCACTACTTCTTATTTTGAAGGACAAAAACTCGTACAACTCTTACTCTTTTGATAACCTCCTAGACATGGTTAGTTGCTACCTTTTATATTATCATAAAAATGTGTGATTCTTTTGTTCTTGATTCAGAAAAGGGGGTGAGAAGCTGAGTGAAAAGAAACCTTGAAAAATAGTGATTTCCTTATACATGATTTGAAAGAATTTGTATCATTTTATATGAAATACCTATGTGTTCTTCTTTCCTGTAAGTGTGTCTGTATTTGATTTATGGTGTATATTTTGTTCTGACTAAATCTAAGCATGAAAACTAATGAACTTCATTATGTGGAACATACAGCTTTGAGAACACTATTAATATGGTACTGTAAGGTAACTAGACGCTGTAATTAGTTATTTTGCTTGGCTTTAATTAGAAGCCCCTGAATTGTCTTCTGGTTTCAGGATGAGCCCATGGAGCGCTGTGAGCAGTGCTCAGATGTGTGTAACAGCAGAGGAGCAGTTGAGGAATTAAAGACTAGCTATTAGCCCCACCTCTGTACCTGATTGCATGGGCCTGAAAAAGTTGCTTAACATCTGTGAGCCCTCATTCATTTATCTGTTAGATGGGATGATTCCTGCCTTGGCTTGTATCATGGTTAGGATCAGGGGAGCCAATAAAACAGAACATACTCTGAGAGGAAGAATATACTCTTCAGCAGCAAGGAAGAACAGTGGGAAAAAATGGGGGATTGCAAACCTCTTTAGACTTCGATTTGGCAACTCAGATGTTTTAAAACTGTAATATTTTATCATTAGAGTCTATTGTGAGCCATAGGCTTTGAAATTTTACATGTAATTGGAACTTACACATCTGGAATCCGAGATAGTAAGTTCAGTATTTTCATATACTGATGTTTGCAATCAAATTATGGTTACATATATTCATGTTGAAGTAAAAAATCCAATAAATGGACATACATTGCTTAAGGATATGAAACCTGTGATACAAAGGTAAAATAGTGAAACTTTTTGCAAAATGATCTTTAGAACTTTGATTTACTTGGTTCCTAATTGGACTCTAGTAGTCCGTGTAACACATGCCGTACTGAAGTCTAAAGACACACCCATAAAAATGCACACACAAAAGAATTACTTATTTTGAACTTTGATGGACCTTTATGTAGCTAGAAGGAGGACACTATTGTGTCCTTTTTAGGATTTTTGTAAGTACTATTACATAGCTAGTTTTGAAACTTAAGTTTTAAAAGTAAAATAAAAAATTTTTGTTTATTTTTACAGGATTTGAAACAAAACTCACAAGGTTCTCTACCACAAAAAACTGTAATAACACTGAGTGCAGAGCCAAGGTAAATACATAATTTCTCATACACTTTGCTACTGTTCTGACTTGACTTTTTTGCTTTTCATGTTTCTTTTCCCTAGCCAGGATATACTTTGAGGCAGTATTTTGTTTAATAAATTTATTAATTTAAAAAAATTTTTTGAAGAAATGGATTTTTCTCCCATGACTGTCATGTTCAATGTTAATAGTTAACACAGTGTTTGATACATTAATTGCTGAATGAACAATTACAACTATTTTTTTTACAGATATTTGGTATGGGATCATAAATATGATTTATGATTATGTTTTTTCTTAACCCTTTGTTAACTTATCTTTTCATTGATCCCTGATCCCATTTTTAAAATGAAGGAAGAAACTTAATTATGAAAAGTTCCTACTATAAATTGCTTACTAGATAACTGTCATTGTGCTGGCCAGACTGTCTCATTTTGGCATTGTGGATTTATGTTAAGGCAAATGGGAAGGGTGTTCAGTTGACCTGAAAATGGGGCGATTAATTGGTGGCTGCCTCTGATTTATAAAGAAATGTTTTGTGTTTTTATTGGTAATCATTTAACCAAGTCTTCTGTTTTAAATGACCAAATATCACTAGGTCAGTACCCACTATCCCCAGATACACACTATATTCTTATATAATATAACTTTTTGCTATCTAAAGTGAGAAATTTAGTATGTACAAATTGTAGGATAAAAAAAATAATTGTAAAGGATAATTCATGATTTTAGGTATTCTTTATTAGAATCATTTTAAAATAAATGGAATCAAAGTATTACAGAAAATTTACAATTGCTAATAAAATTGACATTTTGGTTACTCAGAAAATAAAGCCTTAGTTTGCTAAATCTCTTCAGGAAGTAGAGACTTAAAAATGTATACAGCTCATACCTTAGAACAAGAAGACAGGTATTTTTTAGTAACACTAAAGTATCACTAAAGTAATGGTAAAGAAATCCTACATTTCTTTCTTTGGGCCAGAAAAAGAAGGGATTAACTGGAAAAGACAGTTTAAGTCTCAACTTTGAAGTCCTGTTGCAGGCTTAACAGCTTTCAGGTTGCCAAGTCATAAGAGAGTAATGATACTCCCATTACAAAATGTTTTCTTTGTCTTAAAATATGTAATATTTTGATGTAGTTGAGGTTGTGTGGCTGTTCCTTAACTATTTTGCCCCTAATAAACTCTGGTATTAGGCATAATCCCCCTTTTTCTATTTTGGTAGGGGAAGATCTTTGTTTCTGCTGACTGTAAGAATGCCTTATGCTTGCTATAAATAATTTATGCCCCTTCCCCACCCCATTAGTCTTCCTCTGGGTGAATGGTAGGGTGGGTGGGATGGAGCCCTAATGGGTTACAAACCCTATGGCTTTTCTTCTTCCTCTATTGTCCTTGCTTTAGCCAGGAGTAAGTGGTATTTTAGCTCTACTTATGCTGGAGGAAGAAAGGAGATCCAGGTGTATTAACTAAGAAGAAATATATTTTGAGCTTTAATATTGAGGAGTTTTAATTATACATCAACGTAAATAGCATTTTGGGGACTATTAGTAAAATGATTGCTTTCTGATATTTCCTTTTAAACAGTTTGTATTTAAATAGTGTTCTTCATCTTAATATTACTCCTTCACAGTTCTTTTCTACCAAATGTCAGTGCTACTACTGTTTCTGTAGTTAGGTGAATTGGGAGTACTTAGGATTGTCAAGTTCTTATTTGTATCTTTATTATCTGTTTTGTACTTGAGGACCTCATGAATAGAACTACTTATACTTCTGGTTTTAAAATCTATATTTTACTTGTTAGCCACAAATAATCTGAGCTGATCTCTCAACAAAATCAGAGAAGAATGGAGGAATGACAGTGGCCTTTAAAATGGAAGAATTTCATAGTTTTATTTAGCAGATACTGAAAGTGATATCATTGCACTTCTCAGTCTTGAAGTTGAAAGTTTCAGGAGTATGGTCATGAGTCTTTCTCATGTTCTTCATGAGTCCCTATATAATGATCTAAGGCTTAGCATTATTTTGGCGATAAGAATAATTCTTGTTTGAGCAACAATTTATTAATCTAAATAAAACATGCATTCTCAGTGAGAGAGACATCCTCCTTAGGAGGGTAAAAATTGGTTCTTGGGGAGTTTGAAAAAAAGTATTTTTTTAAATATATAAAGCATAAAAATAGTACTCAATAGTACAATAACAGATATACTTTTAAGTGTATTAAAATTGTATGGGGGGATGATTAACAAAAAATGTCTAAAGAGTCTTTAAGGAGTTATGTGAAAAGTCTGAGAAATACTGATCTAACTCACACAATTTCATAGCTATTTTTTTTTAAAGTTTTTATTTATTTGACAGAGAGAGACACAGCAAGACAGGGAACACAAGCAGAGAGAGTGGGAGAGGGAGAAGCAGGCCTCCCGCTGAGCAGGGAGCCCGATGTGGGGCTCGATCCCAGGACCCTGGGATCACGACCCAAGCCAAAGGCGGACACTTAATGACTGAGCCAGCCAGGCGCCCCTAACTCACACAATTTCAATAATACATGTAAATGACTTTGATCATGCTGTTTGGCAACATTAGTTATAGCTATAACCTAACATAAGTTAGTTTGGGAGTCTTTAAAAAGGAGTGGCTAGGGGCGCCTGGGTGGCTCAGTGGTTAAGCGTCTGCCTTTGGCTCAGGTCATGATCCCGGGGTCCTGGGATCGAGTCCCGCATCGGGCTCCCTGCTCGGCGGGAAGCCTGCTTCTCCCTCTCCCACTCCCCCTGCTTGTGTTCCTGCTCTCGCTATCTCTCTCTCTGTCAAATAAATAAATAAAATTAAAAAAAAAAAAAGGAGTGGCTAATCTGCTCATGGGGATGTGGTACATATCTGTGAGCCTGATTGAGTTCACAAGGTTGGGTAAGCTCTATAGTATATGCATTCATAGTCTTTATGTGGAAAGAAGGTATAATTGAGAGTTAAAAGTTAGGGCACCCTGAACAAGTCATAAATTTTCTAGCCTTAAATAATCCTTTAATGTACCGAGGTGTTTCTTTTCCTCCAAGGCCCAATTGTAAAAAAAAAAAAACTGTAGTACAAAGATTTACAGGATTAGGGACGTGGAGGACATAGAGGATGGAAGGTAAACTCCTAGGACAGGCAGGGATTTCAGTCTCCTTTCAGTGTTTAGTACTTGAGGCAGGATGGAAGCAAATATCACTGCAGCACAGGACGCCAAATCATGTGTTTTGACAACGTGTGAAGGAACTTTTTTTTTTAAATGTGGATAATTTGAAATGCCACGGAGTATACAACTAAAATCTGAAACTTCTGTAAATCTGAAAATTTAATTTTTCAAGTAGAAAACTTTTAGTTTGAGAGCAATTTATTCAAACCCATTACAAATTTACCATTAAGTGCTTTTAATGTTTAACAAGGCGTTTATTGGTAAGGGATTTTTGGCCAGAAAAAAGAAGGGATTAACTTCAAATGAAACCACCAACCATGTGGAGACACAAAAGAAGTCCTTGTTTTTGGGGCTTGGGTGACTTTAGAGTATCAAACAGATATTAAAAGTACTCAGTTCCAGAAAAGGCACTCAGTACCTCCATTGTCATGTGCTTGTTGTAATGGTTCTTCCTGGATGGCTGCCCAGCACCTCTAATTTAATTTCCTCTTGTTTTCTCCATGTGTGCTTTCTTTTTGGATCCTAATCTTTATTAATAGCATCATTCTCTTTTTGGTTGTCTAGGTGCTGAAAAATAGTCTTTATATGGAAAGCAGGTACAATTAAGAGTTAAGAGTTAGGACACCCTGAACAAGTCATAAATTTTCTAGCCTCTAGAACCCACTTTGACTTCTACCTTTTCTTGTTCTTTTAAGTTTCATCAGCTGGAAAGTGTTTTGGATTTTCCCCTCTGCTCACCTCTGACATTCTTCGTCTCCTGTCTTCCTATTACTTTCTGGTTTTAAGGCCTCTATTATGATTTTTTTTTTTTAATGTTTTACTTGAACTACTGCAATGACTTCCTGCTCTTCTGTCTTCAGTTTCTCTCTGCCCCTGATTTATTGCATGTAGTTGTCACAGGAATCTACCCATAGCGGAACGCAAGAAAGACACCTGGGTGGAAGCAGCAAGGCTTCTCGGACCTAGCTTCAGAACTCCTAGAAGGTCCTTTCCGCTACATTCTTAGTGAAGCAAGTCACTAGCGTCAGCCAAGATTCAGGGGGAGGGAATTATTCTCCATTACTTGAAGGGAATGATGGCAGTCATCTTTGGAGACGGTCTACCACAGTTTATCCACTGGCCACTACAATTCACATACAATTCACCATGTGCACAATATTCCACCTCCTCCCACGATGCCAAAGTGCCATCCCATTATGGTACTGGCCTCAAATTTTCATCTAAATCAGATCCAAAATGACTCAATCATGTAACTGGGAATTGATGTTTTCTTATTTCTCTCAGTATAATAATTATTTGAAGTTAATTCTGCTAGACTGTAAACTCCTTGACAGTAGGAACTATTTCTTTTATTTATTTCTCCCACCATGCCTGTGGAATTGCAGTCAACATAGTAAGAATTGAATAAAGACTTGTTGAAATACAATTAATTACTGATTGAAGAGACTATTAAACTTCAGACACCAGATATGCGTAGACATTCTATGTGACGATGTGGTATCCTGGTATATCTTCTCTCCAAATAGTTCTTTCATCTAGTATTTGGAGTTTGGATGCCAGAGGGCTTATGAATACACTAAATAATACTACAAGCAAAAATAAATAACAACTCAAAGCTTTGAATTTGCTCAACATTTGGACAACTGTTCATTGGAGATTATAGAGTTTCATACCATGGGACCTGAAAAATTTTAGGTTGCCTCTCAGCATCATTGCATTCTTACAGAATTACCTTTGTTGAGATTGCTTTCTTGAAGGCTCTTTAGAATGGGTGGGTTCAAAAGATACTCCCAAATATCTAAATGAGTTGACTTGATCAGATGACTTTTTTTTTCTTTT